AGGATGTTTCACACCTATAAAAAAAACTACATGCAAAAATACAATTTTTCCGCAGTTCTTTTTCAAAACGTAAACATGGCCGTATTCTCTCGGCAGTTTGTCGAGCTGACATGTTGGAGTTCAAGGCTAAAAAAATATGTTTCGACGAAAAAGTCTGTCTTCTTTTAAAAAATTTCTGATATATTATGACTTGATTTCAGTTTGTACAATTTTTTAGGGGATGTTTCACACCTAGGAAAAAAACTACACGCAAAAATACAATTTTTCCGCGGTTCTTTTTCAAAACGTAAACATGGCCTCTAAAATGGCCGTATACGCTGTACTTTATCGAGCTGACATGATCTATATATTGTTTTTGAAACTAATTGTTTTTGAACTAATTATGTCTTTGACGGCTTGGGGAATGTTATTTGTATCTAAAATCAAATATTGTGGCAATATAATTAGATTGAACAATATTTAAAATGTTCCGCTTGATATTTTAAAAACTTTCGTGTTAACTTGCGTTGCTTCTCCTTGCGATACAAATGATGAACAGCACTATGTTCAGGGAAAAAAGTTATAGCAAAAAAGTCCAAAAAAGTCCGACTCTTAATTTTAATTATTCTCAAGTATGTTAATTTGGGAAACTTTCTGTGCTATCAAATTCACCTAGGACTACCTAGAGCGTTAAAAAACTCGTATTAAAACCTGACTTTTTGCGCAAAAATAACAAATTTTGAAGGGAACAAAAATCAAAACATTTCTTAAAACATTGACATTTCACAACGCAATGCGCTTTTTGTTTATTTTAATTAAGTAAAGCTGAAGTATAATAGTGTTTCTTTCAAATTACGTTAAATAATTATGTAATAATTTAAAACTTACCTATATTTTCGTTTGTTATTTCGTAGTCTTCGGCAAATCTTTTTGTTGCCATTTTTGTGCCGTTCTTTTTGTATTTCTCGCAAAACGCGCGCTTTCGCCAGTCTCCAGCCGCATCACACATAGATCAGCGCGATTACCGCGCGTTTCCTCGCCCGTGTTTTACTACGCCCTGCTTTAGACCTAATAAAACACGACCTGCGAGTTTTTTAAATGGCTTCAAAAACGTTTGCATAATAAGTCAAATCTTTATATAAAAATCTTTATATAAAAATCTTTATATAAAAATATTTATATAGTTTGCATAACAATGGTCTTTTGTTAAAGTGTTCTTTAGCTGGTATAAAGACGTATGCACGTGTCTAATTTCTTACTTAAGATTGGATAATTGCTTCATGAATTATTAATGAGTTTTTGAAAGCATTTTAAAGTTTTTCCATTGATAGATCGGCATTTTGTCTCTAGCATCGTTGGATGAAACTTCGAAGATGTCGATCACAGTATACAATAAAGATTAGAATTGATATAAATATTGATGACCCACAGCAGCATGATACACGTCGAAAGAAGCTGGATTATTCTGCAAATAAAGGTCAATGGCAATGCCAATGAAAGCCGAGCGCCGTTCCAGGGCGAGGGTACTAATTTTGCCCGGCCATTTACATCAGACGAATTTAATTCGTTATTAAATTCGTCAATTGGTCGACACTAAATTGGTTTCGTTTCAAACGACGAATTTAATTCAGACGAAATCATTTCATGTCTAGCGATCATGGATTACCCAGAAGTAAAAACCACGAGACCAGAAAGAGAGAAACAGACTTTAACATAATTTATGCATTTAATTCGACACGACGATAACACGTCTTATTTTTCACCCTGCTCGGTTTCCTTTGTTCTTGTCGGGGAATATATTCAATATTGCCCTCTAATCAATTTCCGTTTAATAATCCCCTCTAATATTCACCTGCAATGTCTTTGCAGTACAAAAAATGAGAAAAAATAACATCGCGAAGGCAATAGTGCATTAAGAATTATTTCTATTCTGACTCTTTAACGCGACCTCGCAGTGTGAAAAATAAGTACGTTATTTTGAGGCACCTCGGGGATATGTGTTTATTCACCTCGGCGCTGCGCGCCTCGGTGAATAAATCACATATCCCCTCGTTGCCTCAAAATAACCTATACGTATGAAACGAAGACGCGCTACAGACGTTGTATCCATCTGACCATGACGGATAAGACGTCTTGGACGAATTTAATTCATCAGACGGATTTAATTCGTTTCATACGACGTACTAACGTCGCATTTAATTGATTCAATTAAATTCGTCTGAATTAAATTCGACGATAGTGCAACGTATGAAACGGGCCTTATTTTGTTAGCAACATAAAAGCATTTCAACAACTGAAGTTGAAAATCTGTAGTCCTTCAAAAAGTAATTTGAAATTACTTTCATGTTTAAAAATCAGGGTTTAATTATTTACCTGTCATTCGGCCCACCATGGATTTCATAGCAAAATAATATGCGAATTGAAATACCCACCCCCCCCTCCTCAGCCCAAGCGAATTCAGGATATACTGTATATTGCATAAATCTTAAATAACAACCTGTCTTAGTCAAATATCCTTTTGACCATGACAGGATCCATTTGCATTAGAGAGTTTAAGCTTCGCGTTGTACGTCAAACGGCAAACGTCAGGCAAAGAAAAATTTTACGTTATCAGGAAATAAAGAGTAAATGAACTTGCTGTGTTAAAACTGAAATACATAATTATTCTTTCGACGCAAGAAAGAAAATCTGAAACGAAAACGTTGCAACGAAAAAGTTGCCAAGAAAGTTCGAACGTGCCGTTTGCCGTCCCCGGAAACGTGAAGCTTAAACTCCATATTAATTGTTGAATCCACAATACTCGCCTGGGCGCAGGGTGCCCCAGCTAGTAATAATTGACTATAAAGTACAATATCAGTGTCTGGTGCATGTAACATTGTAAATATTCACGTAGTTAGTTGTACCGCAGGCACGGAGGAGTATTGGCGTTCGTGTGATAACAAATAGCTATGTACTTTCTGTGTTAGTATAACATATTATGTACTCAGATGAATAAGATGCTTGTGATGTTACTCTGAGTGTAATCATTCTTGATCGTTGAGTTTCAGTAATATCATGCAGTGCAGGAAATAATGTCACATATGATACATTTCAATTAAGCAATCGAAATCAAGTCGTTTGTTTGATCGATCAGTCGGTGTAGAAGGAATATATGTTTTTACGGCGAACCGCGAACGGCGTGCTCAATTTCTTTCCTTACAAATGAAATATGACCCAGCTTATCGCTTGAAATGTAGGCAGGAAGTCGTGTCAATGGTGTCATGATAAATACGAATTTAGAACAGTTCCTTTCACAATTTCAGCGGAAAGTGCAACACACTTGCCATTTTTCAAACGCAATTTTCCACCCTCCCTAAGGCATATTTCAATTTACCCCGCGAAATCGGGGAACCACGTGACCAGCTCCGACCATTCCTCAACATGAGGGAAAAGCCTGGGAACGAGGTTGTGGCAAGAGAACACTAGGAACCTTACGATTTAGGACGGCAACGTGACGCCGGCAACGGCTACCAATACAATAAATCATTGAAAAGAACTAAATAATTACATTAAATATATGAATAATTTAGACATTGTCCTTCGCTCCGTTTACAACGCCAAATCACAGGTTTTCACGTTTTGATACATTTTAATGATTATATGCAATAAAAATAGTTAACACCAAGCAGGAGCTTGTGGCTGTCTAATAGGCAATTCCAGCTTTTAATTTATGTGCGCAGGGGGTGACGGGAAGTAAGGTATCATATTGCTGATTATGCTGAAAAATTTCCAATAAAAACTGCCGAAACAACCAAAATATTTCAATATTTACAAGTATAAACTATCACTCTGTGTTTACACGGCCGCCATTTTAATTTTTCAGCATAATCAGCAATATGATACCTTACTTCCCATCACCCCCTGCACGCATAAACTAAAAGCTGGAATTGGCTCTTTACATTCATATTATTCAATTATTATATATATATATATATATATATATATATATATATATATATATATATATATATATATATATATATATATATATATATATATATATATATATAGGATGAAATGTTTTGAGTAAATGAATCCAAACCACAAAAGCAGAAAATTTTGCCTGCCACAGCTTGGTTTCGAGGCTGCGACCTACAAATGCTAGCCTGTTACTCTACCAATGCAACATAGCTATATACGGTCAGGTCTGATTGCAACCTTGTGGTCCGTTTGAGGACTGGAAATTTTCAGCATTAAACAACACTTGTTCTGCGAGACTCAGTGTTGTGTGATGTTGTGATACAGTATTGTTCACTTGGCTGCAGCAGGCAGAATTATCACGACTAACATACTTAGGTGATTATAAAAATAGGCAACATGCAGTCCAGCTTCTTCTGCCTACCTGTAACCCTTTTTTGAATATCCCAACTCCCACGTCAGAGTCGTTCTGACCAATGTAAAAGTCAGGTCATTCAAGTAGCTACAAAGGATGAGCAGATAATCAGTACACATGCAGATACAGCATTACAATATCAAATCTTGTGCACTATGTATGTGCCAAACATCTCAGCATCATTTCTCATGTTCTGACTCGCCTAGAATAATTTACCTCATTCACGAAGAGAGTTTATTGAATTTCAAATCTAGAGATCCTTGTAAGACTTGTAAAATTTAGAAATGTGTGAAATGCTTTAACTTTCTGCATTGAATATTCTATATTCACTATGAAATTGGTCAGCAAATCACATAAACAGCGAGAGTATAGGTGTTTATTTGATGCCATAAATTTAGTCTATTTGCTGTTGCATAAATGCTATCTGATACAGCTCTTATAACTGTTGTATTTTAATTAAATGTGGCTATTATATGGTCTAGCACTAATCAAGCTTTTTGAACACCGGCCCTAAGAACCATTAAAATAATTTTGAATTATATATTTTCAAATACAATGTGTGTATAAAATGTAAATGATCTATACTGTAATACAAAATATTCTCTTGGAGTTATGTCATTTTGTATATTATAATTTTTATATGGCTTATGTTTGCTTAAGAATGATTACTGTGTTCATGTTCATGTTACTGTGTTAATGCTTAAGAATGATTACTTAAGAATGATTACCGTGAACGGCCATGAACTCAAAAAATCTCATTTGTTGTTCGTGGATATTCATGACCAGTTCATGAACAATTTGAGTAACTTTCATGAATGTTCATGGTCAAACATTCATGATGAACGTTCATGGATTTATTCATGAACATTCATGAATTGTGCATGATCATTTCACCGGGGATGTGCTTTATCCCCAAAGCAACCTTAAAATCTTTTCTTGGAAATATAAAAATTTTCATAAATTAAAGTGCTCTTAAAACTCTTATGCCATTTCAGGGATTACAATTTATTATTGTTGTGGTTGTATAAACAGGGCCGTAGCAACCGGGGGGCTGCACTCCCCCCCCCCCCCAATAATTTGCTAATAATCATTCTTTTTTCAAAATCATGAAGACCTTTATTATTTAATCCATGCAAAGAATGAAGATATTACCCATACTTTGCTGCAACTTATCAAAAATATAGTTAACTAAATATGGCTTAGCCCATTTAGTACTACTAAATTGTAAATTTTGACATATTAAAATGCTGTTTTCTGACCAGCAGAATTCTGTCAAATCTTCCCCAAAGTCCAGGAAATGGCATTTCAGAGACTCTAAATTTAAAAATTTCCTCGGGCCTTTGGCCCTCGCTTTCAGCCCCTCCCCAATCAAATAGTAATTATCACCCTTGTTGTAGTTGCTTATACCTATGCTTATGTAAATAAGGAAAAACCGGTCTGTCCGATATTGTCGTATATTGGTTTTTCGCTTTTTGAATTAGAAATTTGAACGAATTTTTGATTTCGAATAATTTGAATATTTCATAGATGTTGACAATGTTTTTAACATGAAATGTCTACTTCTTTTACTTTGCATTTGAGTAAAACAAAAATTGATGATTTGGCCATATGCATGGTGTGTAAATTTGATACGGTATACCCAAAAATTCCAATATATCGGAAATTTTGGTATATCGGTATGACTGAAAAACTCATACAGAAAAACCGATATTGGTTTCAATATCAAGTGACAACATTTTCGGTATATCAGTAAACTGAACATTTCTAGCGTGGCTGGGGTGCAAAATATTGCTTTACAGTCAACTCGGCCCACTAACCAACTCGGCCCACCGTTCAAGGACCAACTCTGCCTGCTTGTAAACTGACTAATCGAACCATTAAGCAAGCTAGGAGCCATGACTGCATTCTATCTTTGCAAATTTTGAGAGAGATTTGAATGATCAGTAATTTAATATCAAAACGGACAGATCGAGAATTTGAAACTTCGATAGATTCTTTTTAAAATTAAATTAAGTCAAACTGGATGTTCTTAAACTTCACTCATCTGTATGCCCAATGCAACTGCAAATGGCTGTATTGGTTTGGTTATACTCATTCTTTCAAGAATATTATACTCATTCTTTCAAGAATATGATACCAGAAATTTCAAATACTTCGTAAGGAATTTTCAAGTCATTAGCCCTATTCACATTAGAGACGGACAAGTCGTCTAGACGAACAAATCGTCTCTCAAAAATCGTCTTCACAGACGGACATGCAAGTAGTCGAACAAATTCAGACGACTTGTTCGTCTAAAATTTTGTCCGACACGTTTTCACATCTGATGATTTGTTTGACTAAAAGACGATTTTGAGACGATTTGTTCGTCTAGACGACTTGTCCGTCTTCTAATGTGAAAACGGCTATTATCTATTAAATTAAGCAGATCAGATCGAAATCATCGAATCAAAGACAACTTTTAAATCGAATGCTCTCATATTTTGTGTTTGGTGGTGTGTATTAAAAATAATCTCAAGGGATTCAAAAGACAAAGAAAACTTCGCCATATTTTTGGAATGAAATTAGAATTGCAAGCAAGGAAAATATTTTGTCAAATTCATCCAACATCTGGGCGATGACGCATTATTATAAACTTGCAAGCACTGTCAGGTCACATCAGGAAGTGGCATGGTAAAATCAAAATAAAACCTCAAATAACAATGAATTTATTCAATTCCTACCTGAAATCTAAGCATCCAAGATATACACAAAGTTTACAGCACGATTTAAAATTCTGCAACCTGGCTTGATATTAAACATACGAGTATTTACAATGTCAATGGTTATTGGTACGATGAATTCCTTTCAGACCTTTCTATTAAACTCAGTTCAGCATATGTCCATCAGTCCATGTAAAATAAATCTGGCCACTTTATAATAACCACGTTCTTGTCCTCGGTCTTGCCCGCAATATCAATAACCACGTTTTCCAACTAACATTGTATTGTAACAATTAATAGTTAGATACGTTGAACCTTGCTGTATACGCAATACTTCTCTTGGAAATCCTAGAATACAGCTTTCACTATCTCAAAACAAATCAACTCGTTCCCCGAGCCTGCGATCCTCTGGAAGAAACGTGAGCAGACGTGACGTTCCTTGCGTTATCAGCAATATAGTACAGTATTGTAGTAACCTGAAGTTCAGGCCCTAATCACAGAGCCTGAACTTCAGGTTAGTATTGTAGTTGTCAGAGCAGGGTTTGGCATTACCAGTGAACTCTAATAATAACTGGAAGGCTAACTCCTATGATGAAAGTCTATGATTCGTTGAAGCCGGCGCGCGGGAAAATCAGCTTTCAAAAGGACTAAGGAGAGTTTGAGGAGTGAAAAAAATTCTGTCAAAAGTTTGTTTTCGAGCAAAAATTTGCAAGAAAAACACTTTTTCCATGGGAATACAACAATGACTTGGGATTTAAACCAAGTTTCCGATTAGTTCCGACTGTTTTACATCTCTCCGCAGTAAAAAGTAAGGAATTTTGCTTTTGTATTTTGAAAAAATGACGAAAGTTTGGACGTGCCGAAGGAAATCTCGCCGTTCAACTCAAAAATATATACTATATAACATTTTGACAGTCCCAAAACTTATGTTGTACTAAACCCCAGGTATTGTTATTGATCCTGAGCTTTTAGTCCTTGTTTTAGTCGTTCTTAAACATAAATAAATTGGCGTTTTTCAAGTGATGTTATTTTCGTCATCGGCATCTTGTTGGCCACTATGAGCACTTTGAATATGGCAATATTTTTGTCAATTTTCAAATGCTTTTTTTTCGACCTTAAAACGTTCAATCTTCTTGAAACTTCGCATACAGATGTATTTTGCATGGGTTTAAATAATTCCTGAGGTATAGTTTTATCTTAAACTTCCAACAACTCAGAAAAAGCAGCCTAAAACGCGCGGTTTTTCTGACCGTTCATGCTTATGGCCGTGTTTTTTCGTATTTTTTTGCTAATACGTGATTTGTTTGCTTTGCGAATATTAAATTCATTTATAAAACTACTGATATAAATTAAATTTGGTAGTATAACTAATATTTTGGGGCAAGATTTTTCTGATCGAAAAATGTGCATATTTTGAAAAAAAAAATGTAAAAAGGACTGGGTCTACCTACAAAAAAAGCTTCAAGCACGGCTTCAACTTCCCCCCCTGACTTAGCCTTCCAGTTATTATTAGAGTTCACTGGGCATTACCAATGCGCGAGAAGACCCCGCACGAGAAAGCCCCTGTGCACGAGAGCGCCCCAACCAAATATGGAAGTTTTCGCTGCAGCGAACATGCTTATCAGCGGTTGGTAGGTAAAAAGGAATAGAAATTCTCTGAGTAATCAGACGAGCCTGTTGAACAAAGTCTACGAAGATACGAGAGCAAAGTCTACGAAGATACCAGTTTTATAAATACCTGGTAAGTTATCGGTCTGTTTATTTTACATTTGAGACTAGTTGTTCAACGTCATATAGCCATTATGATTAATAAACAGAATTAGCTAAAGCATCTTGCTAACAGATCGCCAACACAAACGTGCATACAAACATGACATTGCAAACAGCAGAACATATCTTATTTATGCTGGTCGTTTCGTTTTGTATTAACTATTAATACCGTATTTAATGGAATATTATTGAATGGATATTTTTAATTTTGGCAAGTACTGTAGTGTAAATTATTTACTAGAAAATGTCATATTCCACTTGCCAGGATGTTTTGGTTGTTTTGACAGTTTATCACAATCTCTTTGTACCTTCATTCCAACCCAGATTGTCCAGTTAGTGAGTGTTTAATTAATATATGGGAAGATTTTCAAGTGAGATTACATGAACACAAATTACCCTTTTATTATTTGTACTATAATATATAACAACAGCAAGTTCTTGTGTAATATTATTGTCAATTCCATGAGTAACCACCCCCCCCCCCCCCCCGCACCGGGAATTTGCTGGGAACGCCATTCCCGGGGGCCATGCATTTGCTTTCAGATTAGTGTACTGGGGCCGGACATTGTTTGGCGGCTAAAAGACCCCTGGACATTTGACACTAGCGAAAAAAGAAAGAATGTGAGATTTGTTAGTTGAAGCTTGTTAATGTTAATAATACAAAATAATATTTGATAATACACTGTTACTGAACTAAATTTAATACCAGATTAAGTTGGATGGTTTATACCCCCATGCATTATGCAATTTTTGCTATGCATTATGCAATTTTTAACAATATTGATGAAAGCATTTTTTTTTTAATCCCGGGGTGGGACATTTGCCACCTAACGGTTGTGCAGGGCTGTTCATTTTCTCTCCTGCTGTCTCCCAGCGGCTGGGAATTATCCCTTTCTTTCCAAAAAAATGCTAATGTCTGGGTATATTCCCAGGAGGTGTGGGGGGGTGGATGGTTACTCATGGAATTGACTCATGCATAATTGTTGTGTGACTTGTGTCCATTATGGCACGCCGTTTCAGCCAAAAGTATTCGAGAAATTATCAGAATTCATGTCAAGAATCAGCCAAAAGTGAGATTTTACAACTATTCGAGATTTTACAGCCATTTGAGATTTTTTAGCTTTTTGAGATTTTAAGAACCATTCGAGATTTTACAACCATTTTAGACTTCTAACTTTAGAGCTATTCGACATTTTACAGCTATTCGACATTTTACAACCATTCGAGATATTACAACCATTTGAGATTTTACAACCATTTGAGACTTAATTCTAACTTATTCACTATTTCAACAAAACTCGATCCCATGAAAATACCTGTATCTTTATTGCCTCCATTAAATTTAATTTCGTCCATAATATTACATCTTCTGTTTGGTGAAATGGGCCTTCCGTTTTGAAAACAAAGGCTTCTATAAATTCAACTTTAATTTAATCCCACCCCTTAGAAACATTGTCATTTGACCCTAGAAACTTATAATATGCCATGGGCCCCAATGTTGAACAGCCCAACGCGCGCTTATAATATGCCATGGGCCCCTTCTTCCATGATCCAACTTATCGCTGTTATTACCATGGTCAACCATCTTCAGCATTTCATTAATTAATATCTATGTTTCTACTCCTTGGAGTCCATGAAAAGGCACCTGTTACAGCCGGTTCTTTTTGACCATAAAACATGACCGTTTCTTGTGTCAAATGACAATTAATGTTTCTAAGGGGTGGATAAACCAGAAAGGCCGTTGTTTTCCGAAAAGCCCATTTCTGTAATTTCACCAAACAGAAGATTCTCTACATGAATTCTGGTTCTCAATACTTTTGGCCGATTCTCAACATGAATTCTGATTCTCGAATACTTTGGGCCTTCTACTAGAATATTAACCCATTAAGCACCAGCACTCTCCCCTTGATGAGTAAAATCATCTGGCATTAGACAGAGTAAAATAATTACATAGGGTGCTGATGCCTGCAATGTGACTCAATGGGTTAAGTATACATTAGGGGCCATGTCCACCCAATCTGATATATACTTAATCATGTTCCCTGATGATGTCTCTGAAGTAGACATAATAAACATAGTAGTCATAACAGGAGGGCCTCATGATAACTTTTTTAATGAACAGTGAATATCAGTAGCTGTTTCATGTGCCATGAGAAAAGATTGTTCTCTATTTTTCATATCTTTAATTATCCTCAGTAGAATTTTGTACAATTAATTGGGTGAGTAATATACAATACCTTTGTTAATAAGAAACTTATATAATTATACACTTGCATATTGATAATTATATTACATCAATAGCAGGGACTTATTTTAATTAGTTACACAGTGCTTTGTTATAGGGCTTGATAAAAAATCAGTATAAAAAATTAGTTGTCATTTAATTGTTTTCTCCTGAAATCAATTTAACTTAGTCAAGGTAATCACTGTCTCATTGTAATGTACCAGCATTTTTTGTTAGTTTTATTGGCTTGTAAATTTCACAGTTTCAACAGTATGTTAATTCTAAGCTCAGAAAACTAAACTGCAAACATCTCATACTTGCTTTCAAATAATTTTAAATTGTGTATCTCAGGAATGCCTTTCAAATTTGATGGATTCCATACACCACCATTGGTTGGCACACCAGCTTAGGTTTATGTTTCTCAAACGCCCTGAACAGAACACTATCAAACTATTTATATGGTAAAAGAATACACCAAATCTGTATTTTATGTTGCTAGTTACCATGTCTCTATTCTGGGAAGCACGCCTTACAGCAGTATCCTGGAAAATCAAGATCAGCATAATATTTGTGGCATTCACCAAATTTTCCCTTTCCAATGAAGCCAAGCATTTCTTTATACATGGTGTTACATGTAAAGCACCTTTTAATATCAAACATCTTAAAACATTCTTGTTTAAATTCTTTGTCCATTGAATTTGTCCAATCATGCACACTATTTAGCCATGTATAGTGCACATCTTGTTGAAAATATGGTCTTGTTACTATATCTTTAAATTGCTTACAAACTAAACTAAGTGTGCAGTATTCTTTATCTCCTTCTTTTAGAACTTCTTTCAGAATCATCTCTAGGATTTCATCTGGAAGTGATTGGATGTGTCCAACTTTTGATGTTTCGAGTGTATAGTAGTCATGGTCATGTTTACTGCATTTTTTCTTTGCAAAGCTGTAAGTACAAACAATCAACTGATTATAATACATCCCAATATCAATTGAATCTCATATATCCATAAATTTCAGCATTTAATTAAATAGACCTGAAAGAGAACGTCTGCATACATACATAATATATACATAATATTATGAACGTCTGCATACATATGTACGTATACATACATACATAATATTATGTATCCACGTTGTCATGTTTGTGACTTTCACTTTAGGGGATTTTTTCCTATTATTGATGAGGCCATTACTAAACTATTTAATTATTACATGTGATGGCTACAATAATTACATGGTTTGATTTCAGCAATGTAAGTCATTAATTAACTTCCTTGCAATCCGGCTATTTTTTAATTGGTGCTCATTAAATTATAAAATACATTTGTGTATAAGACTTGAAAGAATCTAAATAAATCATTTTTGATGAATGAATTGTAGACTGCATAAGGAATTATAATTGCCAGTCATACTTGTAGGTCTGTTATGATATAATCGACAGAATGCATGATCTGGCAATTATGTTCCTTGGAGAAGGTAGAGTGATGTGACTAACCTTTTTGGTAATTCAATAATTTTTTGAGTATTTGCAAGTTGCATGGCCATGTATTTTCTTAAAATCGGTATTTCATCCTGCCGTGCAATTAAAACACACAATTAATCATCATTATATGATACTAAGTAAATAAAGAATACAGTATGTACTGCAAAATTGTTTGATAGTGCAAAGTTTACCACCTTTAAATTCTATATTTCAAACTAAATGTAAAAAACAGCAGGCATGGTGACTCAACTTAACTTTGGTGGGTATTCCTAGTTTTATAAACATATTACAAAGGCAAGTCGAGTCTATAGTTGATATCTTGGTGCAAGTCAGGCACCAAAAGTAAGTGCAGTGCATGCATAACACTCAAACCAAAGAACTGTCAGTGACCCTAAATAATACTCCAACATGTTATAAATATATGACATCATTAATACCTGAGTAAAGTTTATTGGCAACCCTTTCATGATAAAATCGGCTGCCTATACCAAATAATCATTCAAACATAATTTATGCAGAGTACAGTAATGGATAAATGATCTACCTCAAACTATCATATAATATTCCAATTAAATTTTAAAACTTACATTAATAATAATTATAGTGATAATAATAAGTAGAGGGCACTCAAGACAAACATTTGCTAATTTCTCATCCACATTTCATCCAAATTTAACCAAAATTTAATCAATTTGTCCTGGGGCAAATTCCCAAACATTTTTGTATCAATATGTGTGATATTTTTTGTAATTTATTGTGGTGACTGAGACACACACACAAAAACACGGATGAAAACATAAGCTCCTGGTAATTATTATTATGAAGTATAATTATACTGTACCATGCATACAAAAACACCACATGAGCTTGAATCAAGTTGCTGTGGTTCATGTAGAGTTAAATTCTTGAATTTCTTTATTCCTTCAAAATCAAACCCTCTTGCTTCTGATAGGAAAAATGCCATCAGTAATCTACAATAAAATTTAATTGTATAAAACATTTTGGGTAATGCGTAAGGTATCTTTAAGTTGAAGAACATGATATTATATACATATATAGCAGGCCTTTGATTACGGTATAGGAGTTTAATATCCAGTTTCTTTTTGTAGTTTAGCCTACCATACATATAGAGCTTTTCAGAATTTAAATAATGGCAGGGGGTGCTGATTTTAAAAGACGGATATTAGCATTCAAAGTTTTACCATTCATAGTCATGGATACAACGGTAAGCACTGCATGTTCAATGCTGACTTTTCTTTAGTAAGTGCATGCGAGACATAGGTGCGTATGATCTTCTATTGCTTGATACTGTACATACCTGTATGCCATTATGTAGAATAATAGGGATATTAAATGCTAAGAAAATCCTTATGTAAGAATTGAGGGGAAAAAACTTGCGAACAACCTAACACACGCAATTTCTAAATTAATTTTTCTTCTGTGGGAAAACTACAGTAGCGTTCGAACTAATAAAAACAAAATTATACTGTATATTGCTGGTTCGGGTTTTTGTTTTCCGCTCCACTGATAACATTTAGTCGATGTGTCATCACAACAATCGTTTAAAAACATTGCATCAATTTGTTGGAAAATGTTTTATGTACCTTATTTTGTTGTGGAAGTTTGAGTCGTTCTCCAACAATGGGTCATAAAATATTATGGTCCATGTCCTGAAGTCCACAACCTGTGAGAACGCATATGAAAAATAGTTCATTGATGTTAAGTAAGGGACCGCTCATTATTTATTGTACAGGGGGGATTGAGGAGAAACTGGGGGGGCCTTTAAATTTTTCAAAACCTGAAAGGGGGGGGCTTTGAAAAAATACAGAGAGACGAAAGAAGGGGGGCTTTGAAAATATTTACCAGTTTGAATAAAACATTACTAGTTTAAAAAATGCATCACAAAACAACTTAACAACAAATAATGTTTATAGACCTAATATTTATAAATGGAAGCCAAGTCTCTTATGTTCATGTAAATAGACAATTCCCATTGTAGACTAATTTTAGAACTAGGCAAAGAGATGCAAATCAAGGCCGAATTTTGGTGAAAATAGTGGGGGAGGTGGAAAAAAATGTTAGGGGAGGTGCAGCAGTCTAGCTCACAACCCCCATGGAAAATTAGGGCTTATTGTAGAACAGGCCAATATCAACAAGGTGAGGTATGCATGTAGTGTACATATGTACCAGTGTATTAATGAATTATGAATGTATGACTCCAATCTTGCCTTTCATTGCAATTGCTACAAAGTTTCTTTCAAAACATTGCATTAACAGTGTACTTGACACAGATATGAATGGCTATCACTGTTTCAATTTTACAGAGAAAACTTTCTTATGTCACAAAGTGTAGATCCTAAGCAACCATCACATTTTCACTTTGTTCCATCATTGAAACTTTCCGAAGGGGAGGTGCATGACCTTTCAGGAGAAGTGCAAAAATTCTCAGGGGAGATGCAAAACGATCTCAGGGGAGGTACACACCTCTCCACACACCTCCCCTCCAAATCCAGCCTTGATGCAAATAAATCACCATTGCTAGAAAGAGAATACTAAAATAAGTAAATTATTTCAAAGTTTGGTTGCGAGTTGTTGTAAAATACGGAAAATATAGCCTTGCAAAGTTTGCAAATTTTGTATACTTTTGTATTGCATGCGAAAATTGCAATACAAAAGTATACAAAATTTTTGCAACTTTGGAAGGCTATATATTTTCTACATTTTACAACATTTTGCAACCAAACATTGCAATTTTATTAATTTTAGTATGCCCTTCCCGGGAATATACTTTTTTAGTCTATAATGGGAATTGTCTATTGGTCCCCATTATCTATTTGTGTTTCTCTAAATAAAGAGCTAGAGTTTTTGTTTCTCTAAATAAAGATAAAGAGCTGGGGGGTGGTTAAAATTTATGATCTTGTTTTGCCTTTTGGGGGGGGGGGCTTTGAAAATTTTACTTATCTTAAGAGGGGGGCAACGAAAAAATATTATAACTGTAGAGTTTCTCCTCAGTCTCCCCCTGTACAATAAATAATGAGCAGTCCCTTACAACGTCACAACTTACAAGTAAAATTCCTATAAAATTCCATCAGTAAAATTTATGACTCATATGGTTACCACTTACCATCAGGAATGATTATAAATTTTAAAAAATATGAAATATGTTTCCTGACGATGAGTGAATTTTAGTCGAAAGCTAGAATATTAAAATGTTTATTTTCGAAGTTACCGTTATTTTATATTTTATTAAAATACTCAGTGGTTCCCGTAATTTTTACCGATTACGTATGACGTCATTGACGTACGTCGACGAATGTTTTCACGATTTCATGTTTGTCCACAGAGCCACCCCCCGGTAAATTTAGTTCTAAAGCACTGCTGCAAAGCCTTGCAAAGTCTCTATTGCACTATTCGTCGACTATTCGTACTATTCGTCGCCTATTCGCGGACTATTCGCACTATTCGTCGACTATTTGCGGACTATTTGTTACTCCTTTTTCCCTTCACGTATGGAACATAACGATTGCAAAAGATATATATTTTATTACTAACAAAATGTGAACTATATAAACTCTCGTTTTACATGTGCTCGAAGCAACTGTTAATCTATATATTGTCCCGCGAGTGTCCCACGCGTGATTCTTGCGTAATCATACAACTAAGGGCAGGGGCCCTACACTTTCCCCTGGAAAGAAATGTCAAACACGACATTGATTCAATGAATCATGAAATCTCCAACAATTACAAATCTCACAAACTTATCCAACACGAGATGCTGCAGTCATTTCGGGCAAGAGTCAGTTCGTTTCTTATTACTCGTTCCACTATTGTATGTTTTCAAAAACATCGTTTCAAATTTCGAAACTAACATGCACTTAAAGTTTCTTTCGAAGATCACGATCTTCAGTTCAATACAACGTTAACGTACTTATCTAATTAAAGAACATTGTTCCACAGTACGGACAATGAGGTCCGAGGTATGCGAAGGGATTATAAGGTAGGGGGGTTGGCTGCCACATATAAGGAATGGAATTCATTGGTGGGAAAGGCATCACTGCTGGGTGACTAGGCTCTACAAAATCGAAAATAGTGTTCATGCTACCAGGGTATGAAATGCCTGTGACTGGGTTACCTGGTGTTCAATAATTTAGTCTTGGTGGTGGGTTTCTGTTTCTGCTAGGTCTGGTATTTTCCATAGGTGGTGGTGGAATAGACACATTTTCCGTTGCTGGCGGTGGAATGGTTGGTTGTTGTTCATCAAGGGCCAATACATCTGGGTTCTCGACCGCTGGTAACTCTGAGTTGTCTATCTCATCATGTCCGAGCTCGCCGTCTTGAGCTGGTGTCACGGCATCGGTTACGTCCGCCCCACTCCTCTGATCATTCGCCAATGGTACAAATGTTAACCCATCTAATTCGTCTTCATCTGATTCCGGTTGACTAGTAGATCTTGTGCTGGGAAGAACTGTATTCTGTCTTCGACGACGAGGTGTTTTTTCGTTCAACAGCGGTTCAACGGGAAGTGAACTACACGGTAACAGCATATTACGATGAAGAGTTCTACTCGGGCCATCAGAACTTTCGGGTTTAACTGTATAGACTGGGCTATCTTCCCCTCTCCTAGTGACCACAACATGTAATCTTGTCTTCCCAATGACTTCGCAGCTTGCAAAGTTTATCTCGTTTACTCAGATTTCGTACATGAACTCTATCCGCCGGTCGTAACTCCGAACTACGGATGCGGCGGTCGTATAGCTTTTTCCCTTTCGCTCTACTTTGTGAACTCTTTTCGTTTGCAATCTTGTACGCTTCAGACATCGCTTCGCTCCAGTTGTTAACATACTCTCTATAATTCGGTGATTCAGTTGACTCGCTCTCCAGGTTTAGGATCATATCAATAGGTAGACAAGGATGTCTGCCAAATAAGAGATAAAATGGTGAGAATCCAGTTGACTCGTGACGCGTGCAATTATAGGCGTGAACCATTTTCTGGAGGTGGTCTTTCCAGTGTGATTTTTGCGTTTCCGGTAGGGTTCGCAGCATGGCAAGGAGGGTACGATTGAAACGTTCCACTTGGCCATTGCCTTGCGGATGATACGGGGTAGTCCTTGAATGTCCAATACCACACAGTTTTTCCAGTTGTTTGAAGAGGTGATTTTCAAATTCTCCTCCCTGATCGTGATCGAGTTTTTCTGGGAAACCGAAACGCAAAATAAAGTCATTATATAACTTTTCCGCCACTGTCTTAGCTGACTTATTTCGGGTTGCATAGGCTTGTGCGTAACGGGTAAAATGATCCATGATTATAACCAAGATATACTCGTAACCGCCACTACTTTTCTCGAGATGAACAAAGTCTAAAGACACCATCTGGAATGGAGCAGTTGTTGTAATGGACTGTAATGGTGCCCTAGTTTGGAAAGTAGGAACTTTTTGCTTCACACACCGACATTTATGTGAAATGTAAGATTCTACATCTCTCTGCATGTGCGGTCAATAGAACCGAGCACGGGCAAGTTCTAGCACCCTATCTGCTCCTAAGTGGCCCATTTTCTCGTGAAGTTCCTCGTACACCAACCAATGGAGCTTTTTAGGTAAAACTATTTGATTCTTCAAACCACTTTTTCTCCGAAGTAATCCATGTTTGTCCAGTTCCAACTTGTTCCACTCGTGCAGGAGGTACCGTGTATAGCGTGATTCATTAGATGTTTTTTCCGAAGTAGGTCTCTCTTTCGATTCAATCCATTTGATCACCTTGCTAATTTCTGTGTCATCTCTTTGGGCAAGTGCGATCTCGTCACAAGAAATGGTGTTCATGGAAACATTGTTAATGTGCTTCATATCTTCTTCTAACACATCCTGATTTGTAGTAAAAGCTGTGATCCAGCTGATGTTACTCGCTTGCTGTTCCAAAATTGATGACTCTACGGCTTGGAGAGTATCCATTGCAATTTCCTCGGTGCACATCTCCATGTAACTATCGACATTTGGCAACAACCTTGACAGCGTGTCTGCATCAGTGTTCACTTTACCGGGGCGGTATTTGATAGTAAAATTGAAATCTGCCAGTTCTCCGACCCAACGTAAACCTGTTGCATTAAGTTTTGCGGAAGACAAGATGTATGTGAGTGGGTTGTTGTCAGTATACACTGTAAATTCCGAGGCATAATACAAATAGTCTCGAAAATGGTCACAAATCGCCCACTTTATTGCAAGAAATTCCAACTTGCCCGAATGGTGATGGTAATTTCTTTCGGCGGGTGTCAAGCTTCGAGAAGCATACGCAATAACTCTTGTTTCACCGTTTTGACTTTGGTACAGGACGGCTCCCAGTCCCTCTTCAGACGCGTCAGTGCACACTATAAACGGTTTGGTAAAATCTGGGTAGGCCATCACAGGTGGGTCAACCAAATGATCTAACAGGTCTTCAAGGATGAGTTGATGATCGTTAGTCCACTGCACAATAGTACTAGAGGGTAACTGTCCTTTCGATTTCATATTATGTTTGCTATTTCCTGTCTCTACACCGTCACTCTTAATTAGATCGTATATTGGTTTTGCTTTTCTAGAGAAATTTGGAATGTATCTCCGATAGCAATTTAGCAGTCCCATTAAACGCCTAACATCACCAACGTTTTTTGGAGGGGACGACTTCAAATGGTGGATAACCTCTACGCCTGCAGGGTCCATTCGATAACCGCTTTCTGAAACAATTCGTCCCAAAAACACTACTTCTCTCTCGAACAACTTACACTTTTGAGGCTTTAGCTTTACCCCATTTTCCCTTAAACGCTGAAATACCTTCCGAAGATGTTCCACATGATCCTCGAACGTGGCACTAAATACGATGACGTCATCAAGATACGGGATACATATTGTGTCGCGCAAGTCATCCAAACAGTTTTCCATGAAT